CATGTCACACTGCAGTTTTTGGGGAGGTCACCTCCTAATAAATGTCCTTACAGAAAATCTAACTGCTCATTTTACATCCTTACTTTGACTTTTAATACTTAACTACAACAAATATCACATACTTTAAGACTTTTACTCAAGTTATATTCCTAAAGGAGACTTTTTTACCAAAGTAAGTTTTTGTAAGATACTTGTACTTTTACTCAAGTATCACTTTGTGGTACTTTATACAACACTGGTTCTGCAGTCCTGATGGTCCGTTTCAGATGGAGCTCAGAGGAATCAGAGCTGCTTCTGGACCGGGTCAACATCAGTGAACTTTAACAGCACTGTAGAACCGGTCCACGTGGTTCTGTCACGAGTGCGGTCCAGCTGCTACAGAACCGCATTAAAAACCCGTCTCCTCCCTCCTGCAGGTATGGTTCTGGTCCGGACAGAAACGGGTCAGCTGGTCATGGTCTCTCCACAGGTTCTGGCTCAGGCTCAGGCCAAGATCCAGCAGGGCCAAACGGCGGTCACACAAAGACCCGCGGCGCCGATCGGCACACCCACCATCCGGGTCAGCACCGCCACCACGGTGAGTTTGGTTCTGACCGCCTGCAGGTCCGGCTCAGAGGATCAGTTCTGGCTTTAAGTTTTTTTCTGTCTGCAGGCGCCTGCAGGCCCCCCAACCCCCCGCCTGGCCTCGGCCCCTCCCACCAGGATCGTTCAGTCCCCCTCCACCTCCTCCGTACAGGTGAGCTGTACACCTGCAGCTGCAGGCTGATGATGATGATGATGATGATGATTGTTGTTTCTCTGAAGGCGCTGACCGGCGCCGTGTCCATCAGGATGGCCACGCCTCAGAAAACCTCCACGGTGATAACGGCCGGCGGGAATGCCAAACCCGCCGTCGTGCCGCCGAGCCCGCTCCCCAACACGGCCACGCCCACCCCTCCCACGGCCACGCCCATCACCAGAGTCACGGTGGTGTCGCAGGTGGGCTCCGGCCTGTTCCGCCTGGTCCTGAAGGCCACGGCCGGTTTTCACACACTTGTTTGTTTTTTATGGTTCGACAGGAAATGCAGGAAAACGTGAAGAAATGTAAAAACTTTCTGGCCACGCTCATCAAGCTGGCGTCCCACAACTCCCCGTTTCCAGAGACCTCCAAGAATGTGAAGGCCCTGGTCCAGGACCTGCTCGTAAGAGACCCCCTGGGGCTGGGTTTTATTTTAGCTTTGGTTTGTGTTTGAATGTTTGTGTTTTTGTGTTCAGGATGCAAAGATTGAGCCTGAGGAGTTTACGTCTCGGCTGCAGGCTGAGCTGAAGTCCTCCCCACAGCCCTACCTCATCCCCTTCCTGAAGGTGCTGCTTTACATTAGTTTACACCTGACTACACCAGTTTACACCTGTTTACTCCTGTTTACACCAGTTTATACCTGTTTACACCAGTTTATACCTGTTTACACCAGTTTATACCTGTTTACACCAGTTTATACCTGTTTATACCAGTTTACTCCTGTTTACACCAGTTTATACCTGTTTACACCAGTTTACTCCTGTTTACACCAGTTTATACCTGTTTATACCAGTTTACTCCTGTTTACACCAGTTTATACTGTTTACACCAGTTTACTCCTGTTTACACCAGTTTATACCTGTTTATACCAGTTTACTCCTGTTTACACCAGTTTATACTGTTTACACCAGTTTACTCCTGTTTACACCAGTTTATA